ATAGACAAAAACAAACCAGAAAAATAAACAACAAAAATACGGTACCCCATGTGAACCCTAAACCCCAAACCCTAAACCCTAAACCCGACACTGACACCCCTAAACCCTAAACCCCTAACCCCCAAACCCTATAAACCCTAAACCCTACACCCCCAAACCCCCAAACCCCTAAACCCTACAAACCCTAAGCCCGACTGAGGCCCAGGCAATTGTAAACATCGTGCCGAAAGCCAAGACAGACCGATAGCTTGCAAACCTCGTTTCGGGTTTAGGGTTTCGGGGCTTTTAGGGTTTAGGGCTTTGGGGCTTTGGGTTTTATGGTTTTAGGGTTTAGGGTTTTGGGGCTTAGGGTTTCATGGTTTTAGGGTTGAGGGTTTTGGGGTTTAGGGTTTTAGGGGCTTAAGGTTTAGGGGTTTAGGGTTGAGGGCTTGACTTATGGAGAAGCGGGGCCCGGGGGGAAAGTCCTGTGGGTCCTTCACCCTGCAACCCTAAACCCTTGCTTCGTAGGGCCAGTACCTACAGGCCCAGGGGTCTTGGTAAGTAGGTTATAAGTTGAGTTACAAGAATTCCACATTGCAGGGTTATTATAACTCTACTTATGATTGCCTAAACCCTAAACCCCTATACCTTAAACCTTATAAACCCTAAAACCCTAACCCGAAACCGTACCTATTGCAGAACGACCTCTGAACAAACCCGAAACCATGTAAGGTTAAGGTCACACTCCATCCCGGAATCCGAATGCCTCTTTGAATATTTAATACGTAACTGTGGGTTCCTACCCTCTTTGGGCTTGGGGTCTAGGGGTTTAGGGTTTAGGGTTTAGGGTTTAGGGTTTAGGGGTTTCGGGTAAGGCCTTGTATTGTATCTTGGAGCCCCGTGACTGCTCAAGGTTGCATATTGAAGGGCATGAGGCCGGCGCCTTTTCTCCAAGCCAACGATCCGAAACATCCCACAGCCCAACCCGTAAACAACCCTAAATCCTAGACCCTCAAACCACCTAAAAATCCCTCAACCCTGAATCCTTCACCCAGGCCCAATACCCAAAATATCCGAAAGCCCTACCTTAAACTACCAAACCCTACTTTTTTGTAGGTTCATATTATAAACCCTAGTATGGAATTTATCGGGGGCGGAGCACTTTTTTTTTTTCCT